ACACCTCGTGATCACACAGGCTGGTGTGCTTCTTCCATGTGGGCTTTGTTGCTTCCTAGCTAGATGGCCGCTTGTTTACCTTCAAGCCCCAGACCCTATATCTTTTGATAGCTTGGCATCATCAGCTTTCTTCACCACGTTTGCTTGTCCACCGGAATTATTTTTCAAAGCTATGTATTTTATTTTACCAAACTGCCTTATCAGCTTCAAAGTACTCTCATCACACTTAGTACATTTTTCACACTCATCTCTTTGGACGACTGACAGCACCTCCCTCGTTTCTTTTTTCACCTCTTCTGCGTCCCCAAATCGCTGACCTGTCATGTCCCTCTGCCTTTGTGGGGACAAGAAGAGGTCACCCAGAGTGAGGTCAAGAGAGGAAGATGTGGGGGCCAAGAGAGGCATGCTGGGTTTTTTGTTTTTGTTTTTTTTTTGTTATTTTTATGCCAAAAACTGGCACATTGAGATAGCTGCATGAGCAGGTGCATTGTCATGGTGGCAAAACCAGTCCCCATCTGCCACATATCAGGTGTTTTTTGTTACACACTGTTGTGTGATCTTTTCAGAACCTCTAAATAGAAAGCTTGATGAACAGTCTGACCTGGTGGAATGAACTCCAAAAATGCACTACGAGTCAACATTTTCATCCATTCAGACAATTGACAGGTGTCCAGAAAGAGTTTTGTCATCAGCTGACATTTTACCTTTTTTTGAAATGAGAAAACCACTCGTACACTTGAGTTGTTCCCATAGCACTGTCCTTGTAAGCTGTGTTCACCATCACAGCAGTTTCTGCGGCATTTTTCCTGAGCAGTAAACAAAATTTCACAGCTGCACGTTGTTCTCTTAAATCGGCCATCACAAAAAAACGAGGTTCGAGCAAAACTGCTTTTACAAAAAAATTCACTGTGACCAGAGAGAACCTTCCTAGGCGATGGCACGGGTGCCCTAACTCAGAGTTAGTTGCTCAGTGCTCACCTAATAGGAAAAATGCGTACTACGAAAGCTCTGCTCCACCCAGGTGAAATTCTGATTTGGGGGGGCCAGGCACCCCCTCGTATATTCTTACGTGCAAATGGTTAGAAATTACCTGAAAGGGCATTTGCAAGAGGAACTTGGAACCAAGAGATCCACGCTATCCCCCTATGAAGGCTTTTCCCTCCCCATGGTCCATAGGCCTTGGTTTCCTGAGTCCCTTGGTGGCCACAAGAGGCCACAATACTCAACAGCAGAGTTGTGCCTGTCACTGAGAGCCATGCTGCTCCACTGTGCTGCCACCCGGGGGCCTTGCTAAGATGCATGCTCTGATGAAGGATGTCTGGGTGGAAGCCACAGGACACCACCTTTCTCAGAGAACAGAGCCAGATTCTTGGAGAGATCACTGGGCCCCATCCCTCAGATTATGGTGCCACTGATGTTGGGTGCCATTGGTGACTGGAACACTCAGTAGAGGCTGAAAAGTTCTGGCCTAGGCCCAGAACTTCACTTGTGAGTGATGTGTGTAAAGCAGGTGCAGACATTTGCATTGTCTTTTTTGAGTAACTGTCGTTCTTAGATATCTGGGAAGGGCCTTAGCAGCCAGTCTAGGCCAGGGTCTCTGAACTTCAGCTCACGAGCCATACGTGGCTCTTTCAGTACATACATGGGGCTCTGAAGTGAAACTGAAAGAAAAGAAATTCAAGGTATTATGCAGATAATGGTGATATCACTTGTTTGTGAAAATATATTTATGGCTCTTGAATAATTTTTATATTGTTGGGGACAGGATTAGCTCTGTCTCAAGTTTGCAAACCCCTGCTCTAAACCAGCTGAGCTCAAATTGCAACAGGGCTGTAACTGGGTCAGCCCAAACTACCCTATAGGTCAAGTGCAAAGCTGTATTGGCACCATTTTCAATGTTGGAACTTAAGTTTTAAAATATCTGGTGCTGTTGCATTTAAAAATGAACTGAGCCTCTTGTCTATACACTTGTCAATTATTGTAGCCCCGGACCGAAGCCAGACAGCCCAGTAGTGACAGCCTCGCAGTGCACTTCCTCTTTTCCTCATTAGTTCTGCAGTTCTCTCCACAGTCACTGAGCTCTCCCTGCTGTACCCCGGGAATGCTCTGTCAAGAAGCCCGGCTGGCCTTAATTGGCAGTCTCGCACAGTGCCGCAACCCCACACCTGCACGGCTTGGGGAGCAGGCCAGGTTGCCCAAGAAAGGGCTGCTGAGCCAAAACAGGAGCTCAGAGTGTCCCAGCCAGAAGAGGCACGGGGCCGCTTTGAGGACCATCCCAGCTGCTAGCTGAAAGGTGCCAGGTTCAGTGAGCCCACGTAGTGGCCCTTCTGGGGAGAGGCTTAGTGGCCAGCCTCTGAACAGCTCAGCCACTGAAGACCCCATGAAGTTCACTTCTGCTCTAATGCGGATGGGTCCCCATGAGTTGGAATCAACAGCAGCTGGTAATGTGAAATCGAGCTTGTTCTTGGACCTGAGAAGTAGTGGTGGAGGGTGAGGAGCAGGGGACAGGACACACACAGGGCCTTATGGAGCACAGTGGGGGCTTGGTCTTTGGGAAGGCTGTGAGGAACCTCTTGGGTTGGCAGCAGCCCAGGATTTTCCCTTGGGGTCAGGGTCCAAGGTAAAAAGGGTGACCTTTTCTTGGATGGCTGTGATGACTGTCACCCCACCCTCTCTCTGTCCAGGAAAATCCCCCCAGTGCCCAGCACCACGGCGCCTGTCTCCACCCGAGCTCCTCACCGGACAAACTCCGTGTTGACATCCCAGTGTGGGGTCGGCCTCCTTGGGGCACCCACCATCTCTACACCCCCGGTCCTGCTCTCGTCCACCTGCCACTCCCCACATAGCAAATCAGTGCCGGCTCACGGAACCACACTAAACGCGCAGCCTGCCACCTCCGGCGCCCTGGGCCCCGTGTGCAGCATGCAGTCCAGACCAGTCTCCTCCTCCACCTCGTCCCCCTCCACGCCGGCTGGCTTCTCCTCAGTCCCGTCCACCTCCATGTCCAGGAAACCTCAGAAATTGAAATCCAGCAAGTCTTTAAGGCCCAAGGAGCCTCCTGGTAACAGCACGAACTGTCACGGTGCCAGTAGCAGCAGCAGCAGCAGCAACAGCAACAGCAACAGCAACAGTGGGGGCTCAGGAAAGAAGCGCAAAAATAGTTCCCCACTGTTGGTCCACGCCTTTGCCGCCTCCTGCTCCTCCTCCTCCTCCTCCTCTTCTTCTCATTCCATGGAATCTTTTAGGAAAAACTGTGTAGCTCACTCTGGGCCTCCCTACCCCTCAACGGTAACATCTTCCCACAGCCTTGGCCTCAGCTGTGTGACGAATAAAGCGAGTGCAGTGAGCACTCGGCACGACCAGGCAGGGAGGGGGCCCCCTGGCGGGACCCCCGTGGAGCCCATCAAGAGGATGAGTGTGATGGTGAACAGCGGAGACTCTACCCTTTCTCTGGGCCCCTTCATCCACCAGTCCCCCGAACTGACTGCCAACTCCTACAGCAGCTTCACCCATGCGCCCACGGCTCTGGACAGGTTCCTGGGGAAGAAGAGGAAGTGCTCTCCTGGCTCCAGCAGTGGCAGCAGTAGCAGCAGCAAACCCACCAAGGTTGCCAAGTTGCCAGCCATGAACAACGTCCACATGAAACACACAGGCACCATCCCAGGGGCACAAGGACTGATGAACAATTCCCACCTCCATCAGGTAGGAAATGGACTCTGAGCCCTGTGGGAATGCCTGACTCCCTGGGATCTCTTCGGGATCTCTGGCTGGCTTGGAAATCAGTGTGGTTGGGTTGATTGGTGTGGCGGCTGTCTTTTAAAAACAGAAAAAGGTAAAAGTTCATGGCCATTTGAAGGTAAAATGGCAAGGGGTGCCCTGTACCAATCTCTCTAATACCTTGAGGAAGGTGTTCCTGGGTAAGGAACCACAGTGGCACGTTTAACAGGAAGGGCTCCAGAACCGCCAGTCACACCAGAAGGAAGGGGGGTGGATGGTGTCTTGAGTGAAGATGCAGCCGGAGAGCACCTGCTTCCTGAGAGCCCCTCCACTGGTGCCTCGAGGAAAGCAGGGCCCTGCGCTGGCTGAAGGGGCTGGGGCTCACAGTACTTAAATGGAACAGCAGGCGAGTTTCCTATATTTTCACCTAGAGAATTACAGGCTTTGTGGTTGCGTCTCACCTCATATTTCCTCCTCCTTCCTCTGAAGGGAGATGGGAAGACGAGATTAAAGCCCAGGTGCCACGGCAGAGGAAACTCAGCGTGGACGACTCGATTAGAGACCTTGTGCTCGGGCCTGTTAGAGGGGAAGTGGCCACGTGGGTGCTGGACTCCCAAGTTGCCTGTGTCTGTCTGTCTGTCTCTCCTCTCTCGGCTGGCTGGCTGGGTGCCTCCTCTGGGCTCTCCCCTCAGCTTCCTTTGCTCATCTGGTCACCTCATCCATCGGGGTGGAAGCTCTCTATTCTTGCGAGGAGGAATTACAGCAGCATTGCCCTTGAACCCGGATTTAAAATGGGAGGCTTTTTTCCTTTTTCCTCTTCTCCTATTCAGAACTTCAAGCCAAATGCCTGGTTAGGGTTTGGGACCTTTTTTCTTTTTTTAATACCAAGAAGTTCCCTACTGTGATTTAATTCCCCTCCAATATCTCTGAATGTAACACCTATCAAAGGTATGAGGAAAATAATTATCCACAGATTTAAGTAGCAACTGCAAACAGCCTTCGGCTTGAGCTTCAAGTACTTCTGGGCTTTCCGTATGTTTGTTTGTTGAGGGCTTTGGGGTTTTTTTATCCGAGTGTTCCTGCATCAGTGAGCATTCTGCTTTCCCTTCTTGTAGTCACTCATCATCGTTTACGATAAGCATAAAGTGCATTGCAAACACGGCAAGACGCGGTCCAGCCACCCCCGCACCTTCCCGAGTGGCTTGCTTGAGTGGCAGCGAGCCCTGGGAGCTTCCACTGAGGTAGCTGTTTGTCCCACTGAGCCTGCCGTCTTCATCTAGCCCTTCAGATCCCGCTTCCCACAAGTCAGTAAGGGGAGCTGGTAGGCGCCAGCAGGACTATCGGTGTCTGTGGAAATTGGGGGCACACTCACTGCCCCACTACAGGCAGGGGCTGTGCTTCCCCCAAACAGTTTTATCTTCATATCTGGACTTCTGTGTGAAATTTGACCGTTTTTAAAATCAATAGAGAGTTTTGAGTCGATGTAGCCAAACATGCCTGATAAACAAGTGTGGCTGGTGAGCTACCAGCGTGCCGCCTCTGATTTATACCACCTGAGGGAGGCAACTCTGGTACACATGGAAACCCAGCACGCTTGCCTGGGGGTTCTGGTCCTTAAAATTGGCTAAAACTCACCTTTGTGTTTGAGAGCTATTTCCTCTGTGATTTTGACTCTATTGCATAAATTGTAGGAACTGCTTGATAGGCCAGTGAGCACCTGAGAAAAGTTTGTACATGGTTGTGTTTATGTTCATCTAGATGCAGGGAGGGACCCTACACTTATAACCAAAATGTCAATGTGGTCAACAGTCACAAAATGCATCAAAGCATGCTGCTCTTAGGAAGCCAGGAACCTCATCTTGTTGTCCCCTGCAGAGCTAGCTGTGGAACAAATTCATTGATTGGCTGCAGCCACCCAAGTGAGGGACCATGGCTTCAGCACCTAAAGACAGCGCACCACGGGGCAGGGCGGCAGTACACTGGGCAGGAGCCCATCCTGGGCTGGGAGCATTCACACCTGTGGGTGCTAGCCTGTGTGACCTTGTCACTTGACAACCTGGAATTCCCTCAGGGACACAGTCAGTGAGGAAAGGCAAACCTGTGACCTGAACACCCAGTCCAGCATCTCTGTTCGGTTTTTTTAAAAGCAAATCTTCTAGAATGATTGCAGCCAAATGCAATGAAGGCTTTTGAAAAGCCAAGGCCGAACTCTGTAGCTGACTGCTCCTGGCACTGCCCTCAGTGGCGTTTCCAGAAACAGCGTGGCCTTTGGAAACCAATGTAGTGTCAGGGCTGCCGAGTGTACAGCTACCTACTTACCTTTGTCCATTGTTTCCCTCCCCTCTTTTTTGAAAGCCAAAAGCACGTCCCTGACAGCTGAAAAGTAGCACGGGGAGGAATAATCTGGACACTGTTGAGGACAAGTTACACCTCCACGCAACACTCTGGACTCCACGATGCCTTTGAGTCTGTTTTCCCAACTTCCTGTGGGTCTCAAGGGTAGGAAGCTGCCGGGCTGTTGTTTTAACAAGGATTCCCTGAAGCTATGTCTGTAGCAGTGAGTACTCATAAAGGACACTGGATCAAGTTCAGCCACCGAATTGCTTTTGTCAGTGTTAAGTGGTCTGGACTGCTTTGTGCTACCAATCTGTGAGAAGCCTGTGTTTGTTGTAACTTGCAGTATATCATGGAGCCACTCCTGTCAAGTAGATTGGCTGGCGAAGGAACGTTTTGGCAAGAGCGTGGATTTAGTCTCGTCTCCCTCCCTCCCACGCACACCCCTGCCAACTTGTTTTGTTTTGTTCTTGTACACTGTCTTCTGTAGGTCAGTTGCCAGTAGTGAGGCTCGTACCTGGAGGTGCCCTCCAGAGGCGAGGCAGAGGCAGAGCGCTGCACCCCAGCAGCCCTGTGGAAGGGAGGCTTGTGTCGCAGCGTTCCAGGATGGTGCGTGGACAGTAGCACAAGGCACCAGGACAGAACAGCCTGTTTTTGCCCAGCGTTTTGACAAGTCATTTGAGATAAGAAACACTCAGAATTTTCTAACTGGTTTGAAGCCATAGATGTCCAGAGAGCAAGTATACACCATTTTAGAGGCTTAATGTTCATGGTACAAACACAATCCTATATGATTTTAAAAGAAAAGATAGAGGTATGTGAAATAAATGCAAGCCAGTTTTGATACAGGAAAGCCAAATGTGGGGGCAGGGATGAAGTAAAATCATCCTGGAGTTGGGGTCGGGGGCGCTTGCCCAGGTTTTCAAAGAATGGTCTCATCTTTGACATCTTGTCCACGTTAATTAGCATGCTTGATTGGGCCGACTGACCCACTCAGACTTCTGTTATCAAAAAGTTGCCTTTTTAAAGTGACGTTATTAAGACACAGCGGAAACTCACCCATGGAAGCATAGTTCACTTCAATGTTTCCAAGGTGTGCTCTGCGTTACACTCAGGCTCCACTTTGGATACCGCCCTGGAACTTGGATATCAGTCACCACGTTGAACCCTCCCCATGTTGTGTGTGCAGGCGTGAGTGTGTGTACATTCCCCCCACCCACCCCCTTCATCCCACTACAGATGTTTAAGGATGCTGTTAGGGTGGAGAGCAGACAGCAGGAGGGTGTGTGCGTAAAGAAGGCAGACATCCCCACGTGGAAATTTCATGTATTACTTGCCTGACATGCCTCCCTTTGTGGGATTACATGCCAGCCATCTTCCCGAGTGTGGAGCCCTCCAGGATACGCTGTCTAGTAGCCCAGCCCCACGGAACTTCCTAAGTTCACACATCATTGCTTGAGAAAGTGGTGTTGAATTTTGGGAGTGAGCCGGGGCTTTTTAAACTGGTGATCCTGACACCACACCCCTGAAATGAAAATGAGGTCTTTTCTGCTTGGAACACACAAAGTTGCACAAACAGGGTAAATTTTCCAAGGCTCTAATCATTGTCTGGATTGGATAGAGCCAAGCAATGTGTCCTGCCCCCCAGACTCTTGAGTTTCAAATGATAAGTTTCAGGGAATTTCAAGTCAACATCAAGTCGAATATGAGTACTTGGTTACCAGCCTAATAATGTGAATTGCTACAAAATTATCCTTATTATGTAAGAAAACCAACAGAAAAACTTTATGCAGATACTCTAGCTATCAATTGATGTAAAATATTGATTTTTTTTTCCCCCAAGGGGGAACATTGTCCTGTTCACTTATTATGCAATCAATCAGTAAATATTTAAATGATAGAGTTTAATCAGGCGAAAGCTTAGTTAGGTAAGCCAGTTGGATGTGGTGCCAAGGTTTGGCCTAGCCGTCAGTCCATCAGAGAGCTGGGGGTGGGGTGGGGGCAGAGTGGAGGAGACGCGGAACTGAACATGCCAAGTGTGAGTCCTTGGTGACAAGTGCAATGGGGTATGGGTAGAATTGTTTTCAAAGCTGAGGGGACGTGATGGTTACGAAGTTGTTTCGGTGATGGGATTTACATACAGCATGCTGCTCTGAAGGGCGTGAGCAGGATGCACAGCAGCAAGCTGCTTGAGGACATAGATACTCAGATTAGCGAGTGCTGATCATTTCATTTCTTAGCCTGAAGTGGTCTTTGAGGTTCATTCTGTCTCCGGGCGGTTACTCAGAGCTTCAGGATTAGGAAATTAGCCATTTTGGACTCTGCCTGCCACAAACAGACCTATTCTAAACAGTGCTATTAAAGTTTAGACTGTTGTTAAAATATTTTTATTTTCTCCTACAACTACTTTTTATTATGATGAACACTTACGACCATTTACAACACAGGAATGCAAGTATTTTTTTGAATTAAATTAACTTGCAAAACCAAATTTTCAGTGATTGGGTTGTTTCTAGACAGACTTTGGTATCAATTTAAAAGCAAGATAATTTTTATATTCTTTCCAATAAAATTTCATGACTTCTGCAATTTTCTTAACCTACAAAAACAAAGTGCTGCAATGATGAACAAAGAATTAATACAAAACCTACTTTTGTATCTTTATTTTGGAATTTCTTGTTCTATTATAAATATGGAAGTATCCCTATTTCAGAAAACATATTTTGTTAAAAATGAATTGTACATATTTAAATATGTATTTTTGCACAGGTCTTTTTTTCTGATACCCTGTTTTGGTACAATTGAGATCATCTAGTATTTATTTATTAATAAAAGTAAATACCTTTTTATAATTTGAAGTGGTTCACTGCCAAGCCAATAGTTCTAGAATCCACCTCCTCTGTTTAAGGGATGCCTCTGGTCTGTGAAAGTCTGTCCCTTTTCACGTCTAGGAGTGGGTTCATCCGATGAAGTGGGCATTGCTTCTCCCTAGTTGCCTGATTTCCCAACAGACTACATGTAATAAGTGACACACTGCTTTTCTTTTTGTTGGTGTGGTGCGCACACGCTGAGCACGTGTGTGCTGTGTGAGTTGTTTAAAACTAATGGAGGAAAAAACTGAAAGTGCCTGAAGCTTGGACAGATTTTCTTTTAAAAAGACTTGAATGTTCAGTTGAATTTTGGAGTTTGTGCCACCCCCACCCCAAATATTGCTTCTAAATTTTAGGGGAGGAGTTGAAAGCCACCAATGCTTGTAATGCTGTCAGGTCTTTGAAGATGAAGACCTTTTGTTTGGAGGTAGGTTACCCAGTGGCACCAAGGGTTTTTCCAGTCCTGTTTTCCGCCACCGGCAGCTTACAGGATGTGTCCGCTTTGTTACTCATTCGTGAGATAGAGTTAAAAGAGAATACTTAAGAATATTTTATATTCCAAAAATACCATACAAAGAAGTACCTCTGAAAAAAACATTTAATTTGAAAAATGTAATTGATATAGGCAGCTGTCTTCCTGCAAGAGTTCTGTTGCCAAGGAATTTCTTAATGTCTCTCACTCTGTCCCGGGGATGGGCGGGCTTTGAAAATGATTGTTCAGTTTCATTGTTTTGCAGACTATAATCATTTTTAACCTTTTGTGAAACATGTTTAGATCATTTAAAAGGAGCACTACATACTGTCAGTGTGAATGTAGGGCCTTGAGAGCATCTGGCTGGTTTTTGGTTTTTGAGCTTGGTGATAAAAGCAATCTCCTCTGTTTAAGATGTGTGAAGAGTTTGATCATTTGTACACATAATCAAGACCATCTCAGCTGGACTTTGTGTTGGCTGCTGTATAGAACATGAACAAATGTCAAGGGATAGAAAATTACTTTGGATATTTAAAAGAGAAGAAATATATAGTCTATTTGTTTTGTAACAAGTTTCTGTAAATAAAATAATTTATACTATTTATAAGAAAAAGTTGTGCTTTGCTTTATGAAAAATTAGTTTGTGGAACAAACATGTTACTAAACGGGCAATAAAATTAGGACTACTTAATAAATAAGGTGGCTGCATGAAATATTTTACATGTTTCTGCCTCATTGCGCTGAGCCCCGTTCAGTTTTAGTCTGACTTGTGTTCATTTTTGGTATCAGACACACCTTTAAAAAGCAGCTCCCTCTACATACTTGAAACGATTTCGCAGAGCTTCGGATGTTTCCATTCTTAGGCATAGATCTTGGCTTTGGCTAAATTAATAACGGTGCACACAGTGGGCTCCTATGTACTCACCCTGCAGGTTTGTGACAGAAACCAAGGCATGTTGTTACCTACAGCAACGTGCTGCTGAAGATCCACAATATGCCTGTAAAGAGGGGTGTTATGCAATTTGGACATCGTGCGAACACACCGGAGTTGGGAGCGGTAATGTCCACCTTAGCATTGTTGAATAACCTTGTTTCGTTTCCAAAGCAACCCTCTTTAGCCTCTTCCTGCTGCTGCCATCACTAGCACTTGGGAACCAGGATGCGCTCTGGTAATATTTGGGAAAGAGAATTAATACTGTTGCTGAGATATGCGATCCATGAGATTGGAGGCTGCTGACTGATTACAAGTGGATGCAAATGCTGGTCTAAGGTAAACTTTTTATTTGTACATTGAGCACGTTTGTTCATTGAGCACATTAGATAGAACGATAAAGTGCAGTAGCAACACAGGCATTAGGATTATCAAGACATATATCTGATTTTATATATACTGTTAACACCACTATATTGACAGTGCAATTGCTTTGTATACAAGAAATGGGAAACCCGGGTAGTGAGCTCAAAGCTGTTGTGTTCACTCTACCCCTACATCCTGTTCCCAATCAGAACTTCTGAACTCTATTATAATCTAACAGGACCACAGACTTAGACTTGTCTTCATATACTTCCTTTTATTGGCAGTTGAAAGGAGGTTTTAGCCCGAAGCACAACAATCTCTTCTCTGGAAATCTGGCCAGTTTTTCCATTTGCGAATAATTTATTGAGGTTTTTTTTTTGTTGCTGAAGCTAAAGAGAGCATTTGCTCTGTGTACTGGAGAAAATGCCCACACCCAGTGTGGAGGGGTTGAACTTAAGGCTTTCCTCACTGCCCCATGGGTTTCTGATCTTATCCTTCGATCAACCAGCAATTCAAATCTACCCACAAGCGCCTTAACCAATATTTTTTTGAATGTGGATGTCCTTCTCAAACATCCCAGGTAAAGCTTCCACCCCTTAATCTTTTTAACTCATTCTTTTCATTCCCTGTTAGGTTAGTCACTCTGGGTAAGAGGAGACTGGCCCGATTCAAGGCAGTGGGAGTTGGCAGTGTTGACTCTTTAGCATATGGCATTTAGCATTCACCCATCAGGTTGTTACAGGCCTGGGAAGTGAACTGAATGAATACAGGTGTTAGGTAGAGTGGAAGGTAATTCTTTCTGGGCCCTGTGAAAGGGAGGTTCTGACAGGGTTGGAGAAGTTAAGAGCCAGACTGCCAATGACTTTAAATGCCACAGGGAATGTTAAAATTTGGTGCAGTTGTAACCCATGTAATATTCTAACAATGTAGCCTAACAATGCAAGCCCAGAGATGGGTCACAGTCCTGTGCCAGCAAGGTGCAGTCATGCAAATCTTAGCTAGAGTATGGAAAAACCAGGGACCATTTTGTCTATCTCCCTATTTGCATTTTCATGCTCCTCCTCTTGCCCTAAACCGTTTTCAACCCTTCCTTTCTAGTCTTTTAAGATCCTTCCCCTTAGCACTTTTCTCTGTTCACTCAGTCTCTTTCCATTGGTAATGGAGTTGAAACTAGTCTCCACCTTGTAGAGTGGATTCTTCTTACCTACTTCCCTAATTAATTGTCCACAGTCAAAGCCCACTGACCAATGCTGGCATTGTCTGGATGTCTCTATAGGAGGCAAATAAGAGTGAGCATGTCAGCTATTGAAAAAATGTTCAAGGCAATGGGGGAAATCAATTGTACAATTTTTTTTTCTTGACAGAATGGTAATCAAAACATCCTAGTACAACAGATTTGAAGACCAATGGATTAGAATTGGGGATTTAGAAATACTGTACTATATAAACATCTAAATTTTGATAGAGAACTAAAACAAATAGTGCTGGGAAAATGCATCTGCAAAAGAATGAAACAAGACCCTACTTCACACCATATACACAACAAACTCAATATGGATCAAAGGCCTAAATATAAATCACAGTACTACAAAGATCAATAAGAAAATAGGGACAAACTTAAGGACCTAATGAAAGGCATAAAACACACTACTGAAAATAACGAAAAATATCCTTACTACATCAGATGAAAAACCTGGACCAACTAAAACTACGACATTATGTGTGAAAATCTTCAAAATCCATAGAAAGTGACAACATCTTAAAAAGAATACATTACCAAAGGCAACATATAGGCAGCCAACCACCATGTAAAAAAATATTTGCAAACATTAGCAATGAGAAATACAAATTAAAATAATGAGATCACCGCGCACTGACACTTTTGGAAAGATTTTAATAAAACAAGCTGGAGAGGCCGTGGAGAGAGAGGAATGTTTACATTGCAGGTAGGGCTATAGAATTATGTAAGCCCTATAGAGATCAGTATGGCGCTTCCTCAAACAAATGCAAATACAAGTACCTTATAATCCAGCAATCGCTCTACTGGATATATACCCTAAAGAAATCAAGAATCCAACATGAACAGACATAATAAGCATGCCTATGTTTATTTCAACAATTTCCAATAATAGCAAAAATGCAAACCACCAAAAACCCCAACTACAGAAGAATGGATAAGCAAGCTGTGGTATATTTCCACTAGGGGATTTTAAGCCTAAGACATGGACAAAACCAGAGAACATGCTGAGCAAACTCATAAGGAAAAATATGCATGATTTACACACCGAGAGAGAAAACTGA